TAAATACTTTATACATGTTTATACATGTATAAATGCTTTATACATGTTTAAATAAATACTTAAGCGATACCTGTATGCTGATAGTCTTGTTTAATAAGTTCTCAAAATCCTAAAAAGTTCATAATGTAATGACAAGCAAATTAAAATTTATAATTCTTTTCTGATGTTGTAATCTGGAACATGAAACTATAATTATGCTACAAGCATAATATTGTGAAGATAATGTAACAAAGAGTATACATGCATTTAAAAATTTTCATAATTACTTAATATAAACAACTAGTAATGCTTAAGTAAAAGCATGGCATTTTTTTTTAAGTTTTATTACTTAGATCTAAAAGTATGTATCTATGATATATCGTTTCATTAGCATTAACTTCAGGATAATGTATGTGTAAAAATGTGTTTAATTTAAAAAATTATCGTTGAAATGTTTTGATTATGTTGTAATTATTCCGATTTACAGGCGAAAAACCATTAGTTGAATGCAGCTTCATAACAGAATTTGAAGATCATATATTTGTTACCGTTGATGCCGAAGCCTTCTTCTTCCTACATGATCTCATTACATCGTATGTGAAAGAAAAGGAAAGAGTGGTAGGGGCTTTATTGAAAATATATTTGAAATAACTTTAAATCTGAATCTAATCTTATATTTAGAAAAAAGCATCTTATTCTTATGAAATTTCCTATATTACAGCATACAATGCAGAACATGGGTGCGAGAGCGCACAGTCCCGATTCACAAGAAAGAAAGAATATAAACACAGGTACAGTTAACATGTCTAGCATAGCCGTTATTTCTGAGGACGAGAAGAAACGCAAACAGTTTGATCCGGCTGAAATGTTCATAAAAGATTGGCGATCATACAGATGTAAAACATGGCACTTGGAACCGACAGTAAGGTAAGTTATTTCTTAAATGTAGTCTCTCTCTCTTTCCGTATCGAAACCAGTTAAGATAACGCTGTCATAAATTTCTGTCAAGGCTACTCTCATGGGCCGGCAAAAGTATAGAACCCTACGGAATCGATTATATTCTTCAGAAATTGGGATTTTCCCATGCACGCACGACGATACCAAAATGGATACAACGAGGATTCATGGACCCTCTAGACAAATTACTCGCCATTCTTATGTTAAGAATGGTACTAGCCGTTCGTGAAGAACCATCGGATGAACAAAAAGAATATAAAAGAGAAAAATAATACCAAATTGACTTTTTTTAATAATATACATATGATCTCGTAATATATATTACAGTGCAATAACTGGTAAGAAAGACATAATACACATCAGTGTTACTTAAGATGCGGTAAAGTTTATGCGTAAAGTAACAAGCCTATGTATACATTTTTTTTTATTGTTTGTTTAAAGTAGCTGAGTTCTGAAGTAGCTGATATTATAGTAATATAATTGGAAAAAGAACCATAGTGGTTGATAATAATCGTTCTTGGTAAAGAACTATGAAACTTATATTTGTAAAACTGATGTCCAGATGTATGTATAATATGTTTCAATATATATATATTTGTAAGTGTAATAAATAAAACGTAACGATATGTATCCAAAAAACTGTATATTACTAATATACACGCATATATAATCTTTTTACTAGATAGATATTGTTTTTTATCTTAATTGAGAGAGAGAGAGAGAGGGAGGGAGGGAGGGAGGGAGAGAGAGGGAGGGAGGGAGAGAGAGAGAGAGAGAGAGAGAGAGAGAGAGAGAGAGAGAGAGAGAGAGAGAGAGAGAGAGAGAGAGAGAGAGAGAGAGAGAGAGAGAGAGAAGACATTATATTATTTTAACATATCTTAACTACATTCTTATAGAGTGTTTCAAGATTCTCCGGGATGCAGCAATACAAAATTAATCACTCATATTTGGTTTGTCTACTTGTCTTTCTGTTTTTTTAATGAAAACGTTATTATTCAATCCACAATAACGCAGAATCTATTCAAAAACTAAAACAAATTTTTTATGTGCAAATAGATACATGAAAAAAAATATATTTTTCATTTTGAATACGTAGGACAATATAAAGCGGAATTTAGTATGATTATTGTGATATTTAATATTATTTTATCGTGTTGTTCGAATTTATAAATATGTACGAATTTATAAATTATATTCGATTTTATAATATGAATTGTACGTATACTTCTTAAAGACTCAGACTGTAAAACGTGCGCGATCTGTGATTTCTCTATATTTATTTTATATATTGTGTATACGCTGTTTATTATGACTTATTGACTTGTTCGTTTATAAAATTTGCTTGAAAGTAACTTCTTGATATGATTTAAGTATATACAAATAGATTTCTAATGCGTTTTTACGATCATTATCGACCATAAATGGGTTCTCTGGAACAATTTATTACTTAATCTAAATAATGTAAAAAGTTTTATATTGATATGTGTAAATATGTGAAAGTAATTAAATTTATCCAGCACCATTGCACGAATATAAATATTCTGAGAGATATATGTGTAGGTCCTTTTCTCAAGGATTTTAATATTCGATTTGAGAATTCAGTAGATTGTTCCAATAAGAAGAAATATATTGTATGCATTTTTGTATAACACACACCAACACGCAATCGCAGAATATTTATTAGACTTTATCAAATATAAATCCAGGAATATATTCATAATCTTTCAAGTATGATCTTTTCATTGCTTCAACAGCAATATGTACTGAATATGTATTTTGCTGATGCTGGAATAAATATGTGTTTATAAATATTTCTATATTTGAACTTCTTTTTATATTATTTTATTTCGCATTGTATCTTAAGATATCTATTATTAATTTATATTTTTTTTCCATAATAATTAAATAAAAGATTAAGTGAGAGTAAAAATATGTTTCTTTCAATACCCTCTAAAAATCATCAAAGTTAATATAATTAAATATGCAAATATTCAGTTTTTGCAAGTTTAAAAAGTTGTTTTAATTTTAAGCTCTCAGCCACAGATATTTTAATTATATATCAAATAAAATAATAAAAATGATAAATCACAATGTAATTATGAATATAAATTTATTACTTGCAGAATGTGCAAGTGAGAACTTAAAAATATTTTTGCTTATGTATGGAGATATTTCTTATTGCTATACATAATTATATATAATACATCTATATCTATGCTTTATAATATAGCTGCACATACACTAAAATAAGATACAAAAATCATAATGAGATACATGAATAACAGTTTACATCAGAATTAATGGATAATTATGACGTCAAGTAACAATAAAAGAGATATTATAAAGATAGAGAAAAATTCGAAATATATCAATACAGATTGGAATTCAGAAAATTCTCATGTCACATGACAACAATTTTTTCTATATCTTATCTCTTTTTTTTATCTCGCGCAAATGTTATGTGTATACCCTGTAAGATAATTATCTAAAAGAATAAATTTCAAGAAAAATTTTTACATATTGTAATGTGTAATATTACATACAATATAATTTGAATCAATAAATAAAATTTGCAAATATTATTTATCGTAGCAATACTATATTATGACTATATTATTCTGTTATGTCAATCATAGTTAAATATATGTTACTGTACAATAAAGTATAGTTTATACAATTTATATAAATATATATAAGGATATATAAGGATATAAGGATAATAATTATCCAAATTCCAGTTTCTCTACAATACATCGCAAGTTTGTGCACTGAGCTCTGAGTATATAGTACAGATAATCAATTGATAAATTATCAAGTTTCTCTACAAATTGCTTTTCACTATACAGTATACGCGTGGACGGCAAACGGCAAGGATGTTTATATATATTAAACTGCTTGAAGATTGCTCGTCATGCTTTTGACAATGTTGTACGAGTTATATTTTAATAATGAAAGTACACTTTTATTGCTATTAGGTAAATTCAAATATTAGAGTTATGTGATTTATCGACTCAACATTTTTAAATTAAAAAGTGGATGCTTTATTCTATTATATAAAATTAAAATTAGCACGCATACATAATCAGGAATGTTTCCTAATAACTTTTCTTTTACTAAGCTATTTATGCGTGAATATCTATCATTTTTAACACAAGTGTAGCAAAATATGTGCGTATAAATGAATCTATCATTAAACATTAAGGGCCGGTTGTTCCACTTTCAGATAAACTATCTGGTAACTTATCTGATGGATAAAATGTCTGTAGAGCGTTGTTCCATTTCTCGGTAAAATTTAACTTCCTGATAAATGGCCACTATCGACAGATAAATTACACGGTACTTTGGGTACCGTGTAAGACTTATCTGACAGATAAATGCGTAGTGGGATTAGAAATCATACCCCGTCAGCGGGAGATGCGCAGCGCTGGTGTATCTGACGTTTCACGCATTTGTATATTAATATTTTGCGATAAAGAATTTGGATATTATCGAACGGACGGTATCGGACGGTATCGAAAATGGAACCAGGATTATGCGAAAATCAATTTTTTTTATGGTGACGAAGATGATAACGAAGAATCTGATGAAGAAATATATATAGTGGTGCTTCGCAAGCGATATACAGTTCGTCCACGTCCAGATTTATTTAACGAATATGATAATATAGAATTTGTATAGGATTAATAACCGTGGAACAACGCTCACTAAATAGCTGGTAAACTACCCGGTAAGATTTATCCTATAGGTAGTAATCTGTCGAGTAAGCCGAGATTTATCGAAAGGTGGAACAACCGGCCCTTACTGTATAATATTTTTAGGAACTCGCACACGTCTATAATATCGTTTAATATAAACAAATAGTATAGTAAATAAAAATATTAAAATGTTTAGTTGCCTCAATGATTTCCATTATTCTGTATAAAAGAGATACTCAAATTAAAAAATAATTTATTAAAAATCAAAGATAAATTGTCTCCTTAATTGAGTAACAATATATATATATATATATATATATATATAACATATTATAACATTAAATATTCAATGTTGTTTGTACATAATCATGAAATAAAATTAATTATATAGCAGATTTATGACTATTTACAATTTAAACACTACGATGTTTTTCGTGTGACATAATATTTTGATAACAAGCTTATTTAACTTCACAAGTATCTGAAATGTCATTAAAAATTAGTAGTTTCATACATTACGTTTTATACAATGAGTTATCTGTAAATCAGTATCAAAAATTAAAATGTGAACTATGTAAAAGATAAAGTGTAGAAATATGCACTCACAATTAGATCTTGAGTAAATTTCATAGGAAACTAGTAATAAATTAAAAAATGTAGCATGTTGATGGGTATAAAAACTAATTTATACTAGTATATGTACACTTTGTAGTAGATTATAGCAAATGTTTCTTCGTTTCACATAATATTTTATAAATAATATCATTTATTTAATATATTTTGCGTCTGATTCATAATCTTTATCAATATTAACAAATATTATTGATTGGATTTAAAGTAGTAAAACAAAAAAAAATGTTGTAAGATGTGTTGCGATAACACAAATATAATGCACCCATCAACCACTACTTAATTGTTCGCTTGTCATTATTGCTACCAGTTCTGTAAGTGAATAAGATAATTTTGTGTGTGTGTGTGTGTGTGTGTGTGTGTGTGTGTGTGTGTACCTTCACTAAAGTGTGTATACCTAAAGAAATTTCCTGCACAATGATACGTTACATTAACTATAATTGGAAATTATGTATAGTTTATGTTTATATTAGTAAATAATATGTACTGCGATGCGTAATGCGATGATATATAAAATATAAGAGCACTACGAAAGCGCAGAGGATAGATTACAAAGGCACAAAGGCTTTATATAGAATGAAGAAATCTAACTTTTGTTAGATACGTAGAAACTATCAAGTTCCTTATGAAGTGTGCTGTACAAGATAATATTCATTGTTCTTCGCAGTCTCGGTAAAAGTGCAACGTAAATTCCAAATAGTCGACATCATGCTTACTTTTGCAAATATTCTGTAATAAAATAATACGGTAATCAGAGACTATAACTCAACGTTAAATGCATTAAAAATCTATAACGTAAATATTTTGTGAAAAATATTTCATAAATTATTGCCTCTTTACACTGAAATAATTACCTCTTGAGGTTGCATTACAGGTATTCGAAACTTTAAAGTTTTTCTAAGGTAATGAGCGACATCAAGAGGAAAAGACTGATCACCCGGTTGATTATTACTTTCGATATACTGAGGTTGTTGCTGCATGGTATAGCTCCAACCACATACCATTGTCTCATCCATACCAGGATTTGATGAAAAAGGACACTGCTGCACGCGTTGCCAATACCACAGCATACCGCTATAAAAAGAACGCGTGCGTATAACATATCAGAACGTAAATACACATGTTTATTAAGTACATACGCATTCTAAACTTACACAAAATGTAATGTTAAATGCGTATCTGGCATATGTTTTGACAAAGGTACAATGCAACTAATGTTGTTAGGTGTATCTGGTGACGATGGGGAACAATATCTCTGATCCAAAGATGTGTTGAAGTTTTTTGCTACTACGAATAATTGTGGTCTAGGCTCTGGTGGCAGTGATCCTGCAGCGTTGCTAGCCACTTCTCCCCAATCTCCACCACCAGTTTCTCGCCTTGTTCGTTTATGCAAATACTTGTAATTGGTCTATAAGATACGCATACGTTTAATTACATATTTGTCTTTCTTGTTATAAATTATCCGATATGATAATTTCAAGAGAAAATCTAATACCTCTTTCACAAGAGTTTGAGTGCTAGGATCGGATGGACTAATACCATTTTGGAAACCCTTACTTAATTTTCGTTTTTCTTCATGCGGCATACTTAATGGCTGTTCCAAATGATCTGCTAAAATAATAGAATAAAATTTGCCATTTAATAATACGCTTTGAATTGTATAAAGTATAAATGATTCGTGCGTATACTTTAATGAACTCCCAGATAGCATAGTGGCGTCAAGTGGCGTAATATAGAGTGCAGTCAAAGTGACGGCGTGTTGTCGTTAGAGACGTCACTTTGACGACATTATAACGTCATTTGACGCACTCTGCTATCTGGGCTCAGAAAAACATGTAAACTTACAGATGGACTTTTTTTCTGGTGGATGATCAGGCTGAGGATCTTCCACATGATGAATCTCAGCTGTGCAACAATATATCTGAAACCATGCCGTTAATTTAATTTCATTTCCGTATATATGCCGTGTTCATTTATGTGTAAGCACATGCATACACTCAAGTAATATTTAAATAAATTTCATCAAGTTCTCAAGTACCTGACATGGACTTTCGAGTTCAGTAAAATGTGCGGGGCATTCTTCAGGCCTTCCTAAAGGAACTGGACCTTTGTTAGCAGATGAAGAATCTATATCCGAGCCTTGATCATTCTCATCTACATTGCTAGGAACAGCACCTGCACCATTTCTACTAAGCCAATTTCCCGGGAATTCGCTGAAATATATTATCATTATAACATTTTTAACGAGCTTGTGTATAACAAAATATTTTCTTTCGTGATAATATTATTTAAAAATTTTATTTCAATTTCACTGACTTATTTTTTTCATGTTTAGGTTGGGGACCCGGATGGCTCATCGGATACCACGTTATTTCCTGAGAGTACAGTTGATGTTTCGTGTGCGGAGGCGGTGTGGTGAAGGAATTACTTTTGACAGATAATCCTCCGTCTAATTCCCTCGTGTAAGATCCTTGCTTAGTATAAAAAGGGGATAACGTGCTATGTAACAAGGAGTTATATCGATGCTCATAATTAGAAGTGGTAGACATTGTTGGCGGATGAGCCGGACCAATAGCCAACATTCCATTGCTTGCCATGGCGGACCATTCAACGCTACTGCGTTTCTGATATTCTAAGAAATATAATGTTGCCATTGCAACTAGACTGAAAATTATAATATTAAATCATAGGTAGATGTTCAAGAGAGAAACAAAATCGAATTAAATTGGAAATAAAGCTAAAGGAATAATTACCAAAATGCCATGATGAGAATAAGTATAACAATGATAATTTGAATAAATTTATTGCTGCAGAGAAGCTCTTCCTCTCTTTCGAACCTTTTCGTCTTTCCGTGCAAAGATGACTTATTATTGATAGATGACGAATATTTCGTGCCTGATATACTAGATACTGTGCTGATGGAACTCTTTAGACTATCACCTCTTTTTAATTTTGCTAGTCGTTTATTTATTCTCTCTAGTTGATCTATTCTCGTTTCTAGACTGTCCGTCACCTGTAGTAAATCGATTATAATTAAGTAAAAGATTAAATTCTACATGAAACACTGTATGAAGATTGATATAAAATTCTTACCTTGCATAATTCCTTGACAGCCCCAACGTTCTCCATAAATATTCTCTCCTTATTTACCACTAAGAAATTTTCAATTCTCTGACCATTTGGCAGAACTATATCACCTGCCGGTAGCACCGCTTCCGGTAGAACTTGCTGAACCTCTTGCGCTATGACACCAGTATCTTCCTGTTTGATATCAAGACCCGAATGTTGCGCGAATTC